TCATCTTCATCTTCATCTTCATCTTCATCTTCATCTTCATCTTCATCTTCATCTTCATCTTCATCTTCATCTTCATCTTCATCTTCATCTTCATCTTCATCTTCATCTTCATCTTCATCTTCATCTTCATCTTCATCTTCATCTTCATCTTCATCTTCATCTTCATCTTCATCTTCATCTTCATCTTCACCTTCATCTTCATCTTCATCAAGTCCTTTCTAATCGAAAGGAAATATGGCTACGCAAAAGGCTTTAGCTGAAAGAATTTCGTAATAGTTCTGACCCAGCTCGGTACTAGTACCATTTAGTTATTGCGAATTAGTTGAGGTGTCGAGATGATTTTCCGTACTCCTTTGCGTTTCTAAATGAGATTCAAATGAAAGCTGTATCTTATATTTATTCCTTTTTAAGGAGAAGTAGGGCGACATAAAAATAATCATGCTTAAAAAAAACAGTTAGCTGTATGAGTAAAATATGAATTGGGGATATGCTGCAGCACGTTTAAAAAAAGAAACGGCTAACTCAAGTAAGCGAGTGTGTTGACACTGTTGCTGTTGCCTGCTGCTAACGCTCAGTACTTAAAATATGTACACGCTAAAATAAATGGCTCTATTGCTCGAGGCATCTTTGCTTCAACGGCGAATCCTGCTGCACATAAACATTATAAAAGCAAAAAACAAATACCAAAAAAAAGTAGCAAAAAGTAAGTAATTATAAAATACAACTTGGGAGCGCTTCACTCAACTCGCGACTCCGACTGCGCGCTGTTAAATTGCATAAGTAAATCATGTTTATTATTTTACCAGCGTGACATTAGAACCGCGCAGACATTAACCATAGCCACAGCAATTAAATTTAACTCACCGCAATAAGTCCATGCCTCGTTCGGCATCTTCGGTTCTGTAGCGGTCTTCAAGTTCATTTTGCGCCTTATTGCGCTCTTTAATCTTCTCTACGCGTTGTTGTTCTTCTTCCACATATTTCTGACGTTCACGTTCCCATTTGGAGCCTTGTGCTTTTAAGCGTTCCGCATTACGTTCACGATTCGTTTTTAGCTAATTGTTAGCGGAGGAGACGACACATTTTTTGTTGAAATTTTTTTAAAATTAAATTTGCAAGAAAGTTTTTGTAATTTTGTACTTTACCTACATATAATTTATTTGATCAACTTACCTTAGCGCGCTCTTTTTGTATTTCTTTATTCGCAATTTTGTTAACAACAAATATTGGATCATCTGCCAGTTCTTCGGGTATCTCATTCGTTTTGCCTTCGATTATTAGGAGACGTTCACGTTCGACTTCTCGGAGCTAATAATTTTGGAAGATTTGGAAAAGAAGGAATGGAAATGAGCGCACAGTTGATAATGAAAAAAAAAAAAGAAATGGTTGGGAAATGAATGAAAATAAAATAAAATAAGTGCGCTTTACTAAATAATCTATAGCACGGACGTGTTTGTAAACAGCTAAAATTTAAGCAGAAATGTATTATGCATTAAACCACATTTGTATGTATGTTTATGAGTGTCAGACCCAATACTACTATTGCATTTATTTGCATGCCTCCTTGTCACATAACTGTCAAGCTGTCAGTGACTTGGGCCACAGAAATATTGGCAACGATCTATGTATATTAGCTTGGCACGGAACTATGTATGTATGTACGTAGAATTTTACTAAATGAAAATTAAATTGCAAATATAAAATGCAGACATTCATTCCATTGACATTTTTATGATTGCAACACATCGCCCAGTTTTGTTTTATGTTTTTTTTTGTGCGCTTAATAATGTGTCTGACGTTCTTTCTGTGTGAAAGATGGATATACACAGGCGTAGTGAATGTCACACTTGCCAGCCGTTATATATCCGTTAAATGTTATTTTTTGCGTTTAGGCAATTTTACACCTGGAGCTTTTCGTTTAAGGCTTCATGTAATTCTAATAATCACTGTACAAAACATAAACGATCTGAAATTCGTCGATTAGACGTATTGCTAGATTAGATAGAATGCTAGAATTTATTAATTTGGCTTACAAATCTCAGAATTGCTGTAGACGACCGAAATTTCCGACTTAAACAGAATATTACATACGTAAGTACTTATGTGGATCCCAGAAGAAAGCCGAAGAAGATCTATGACTTGTTGCGGACCAAGGAATACCTGAGTTCTGAGTCTTATCTAGTGAAATGGTCGGATGTCTCATTACCACTCTCTCTCACTGACTATAACAAACGAGTCGCTTAAAGAGGGAATTATGGAGACAGCGTCAATAGGGTCAATAAAGACACTGCCTGAAGACTAACGTCTCTATAAAATTTTATCAAAGGAATCTTCTAACGGGATAGTTTTCTATGAAGGCAGGTTGGCTTCGTGTGAATTTCCCAGGCTTTTCAGGATCAGACGACTCCTAGCTCCTCGTAACACAGATTACCTAAAGTGAGGAGTCATATCAGATCTGGTTCAATCTCTGTCAGTAAGGTGGGCGGTGGGGTCTTACGAACCCTTCAAGGTAGTGGGATGGCAATGGGACTTTTCCAGCACTCCTACAAAAAAGTATCGCGGACATCCTTGATCCCCTGGTCTGTCGTTTTAGGGCAGATCTATTAGCTTAACTTCCTTCATTCTCAAAGCAATGGAGAGACTGTTAGACCTCTATAATAGGAATAAAATAATCGTGTCTATACCGTTACATCACACACAATTCGCTGATATTAGAGGGAAATCAACTAATTTGGCTTTACGGTGTCTGGTTAGTAAGATCGAAAGCGCCTTTGAGTACAACCCTTGGACACCGGGGCTTTGGACAATACTGCCTATGGCTCTCAAGGGCATTGGTCCAAAGAGGCATATACCCATCTATGGGCTGGATCGATGAGGTGCTTTATGGGCGTGAAATCACGTCATCCTTGGGCCACACTCAAGCGAAGACCAGAGCTACCTGTAGGGGAGACCCCTTCTATCTCCCTTGCTCTAGTTTATTGCAGTATACGGTGTACTGAAGTCTTAGTAATCCTAATCTTGTTTTATTTTCTGGTACCCATGCAGCCAACTGAGCTCTCTAAAAACAAGATGCTAAAATCTAAATTTGTTAAAGACTGCTATGACACGCTTCAAATTTGGACCGGAACCATACTGTTGCCTAAGTTGTTCCTCTTCGAGAACCATATTTGCTAAAGGGGGAACACTCTGGGTGGCTATAGACAGGTCAGGCTCTTCGGCTATCTTTTAAAATGTCATCAGGCTACTCTCTGGGTACCTAAGGGTCCTCAACTAACTACGATTTCATATGCACCGAATAGATGTTGTGGGGGTGTCGAAATGCCGACACTGCCTATGCGGACGAGGTAACATAGAACATTAGGTTTGCTGCACAAAAGCGTCTAAAGTACGGGAAAATAAACCTTCAACCTAAATACTTGGCATTTTTACACTCGGAAATATGTATGCCCATCGTTTCTCATCAGAAGAATAAGGACATTTTGCTGAATAAAAAATACTCAGCTACGAAAAAAATAATGCAAAAAGTCCATCACGTAAATTTTCCGAGAAAATTCGTTTTTAATTTTTCTTAGCGTTCTTAGTAGTTTTAAGTAAAAGTTAAAGTTTAGTTTAACAAATTAACTATTGCAATATGGGTATCAAACTAAAGAGGGTTAGGAAAGTTTGCTGTCGAAAATAATTCTTAGGAAGGTTGCCACCTGCCTGAAAAAGTGTATTCAATTAAGTTGATAAAATAAATAAAATATTACAACGCGGATATTAAACTAAAGGGGTTTAAGAAAGTTTACTGTCTAACATATTTTTGAAGCGGGTTGCCACCTATTTGAAAAATTCAATTCAGAAAAGTTACATATTGAATTAGTATACCATTGAGGAAAGTGCGCGATATGTCGACTCGTGTTATACGACTATAAATTAAATTCGAGTGAGAAAGTAAATACTTTACCTGCTTTTTAAATACCTTCGAAAATATATTATCTAACACCCGCATTCATAGAAATAAAGAATAATTCATTAATCGAAAATGTATTTAAAAATCTCACCTTATAAAGCTCTTTAAATCTATTTTAGTTTTATGAATGAGGCCATACGAGTTGCGGGAGGGCGTTACTCCACCAAAAAAAAAAAAAAATACTTTTACGGCGCAAAAAAGCACGCCTGTACAAAATTCAAATGTGTACTGTATTTTTACTTCACAAATATGGTCACCGTAGTTATAACATGCCCTTTTCACCGCAGTATTTATTGATAAGTATATGGATCAATGATAATAGCTTAAATACCACTTCAGTCTTTTTAAGATTTGCAGTAGCTCCTGCCATTAATGTAATACATACTGTGGACATATGTATGTACATATGTATGCGTGTATATATGTATGTAAATACGTACTACAATGAAATTGTTATACAATACTTGCACGTAAAGAATACTTTAATTTACTTTTACTTCTACTTTGCATTTGTTCGAGGCATTTTCATGTCAGAACTTCATCAAAATAAATTGAATGGAAATATGAGAGCGCTAACTTTAACGGCTCAAGTGTCACTGCCGTTGGTGGCTTAAGGAATGATATGAAAACTTCCATTGGTTTTTTAAAGTTTTCAATTGCTTATGGACCGGGCATAAGAAGTCAATAAATTTATAAGAATTTGACATTAAACAATTTCAACAATACCTATGTACTCACTCATTGTATTGCTAAGATGGTATTTAATATGTGTGTTACGGTACTCGATTAACTGGTAACTTACCGGCACCAAGGGTAAAAAAATAAAACCCCTTAAACTAAGGAGTGTCATTTAACAAAAGTTTACTTAGAGCCTAAGTTTTTTTTTCAAGTTTTTCAGGACTTATGTTAATACTAAATTATTAATTTAATCAACCCTTGTTTTTAATTGCTTGTCGTTAATTTTCACCACATCCCTCCCCTCTCTCAATCTCTCACTCTACTCACCGCTCTTGCTGTTATGCGTCGCTCCAATTGATTACGATGCTCCTCCTCTAGCCGTTTGCGCAATTCGCTCATGAATTTGTGGTCCGTCAGACGCACTACATTTGTACCAATCAAACGCTCCAGAGCGGCACTTATGCGCGGCAAGTTGAAGCTGCAGCGAAATGTTAGAAGAATAAATGAGTTTTAATAAAATTTTTATTACACTTTATCACGAATAATTTTTTCCACAACAATTAAAATATGAATGTTTCTATGTGCTTTTTACAGCCATTTTAATAATTTGTAATAATAAATTTTTGGCGACATTTACTCGCTACTTTCGTTCACAGTGCCTGATTTAATGTTTTTTTCCATAAATTTGCCTTCAGCAATTCACTTCAACGAATAGCTTGCAACTGTTTTTGTGCAAATTTCCCAAAGTTGTTTATGCCTACTCATTGTCAAGTAAGTATGTATGTATGTACAGACAAAAGTAAGCCGGGTAAAGGAAGAAAATAAAATGTCTCACAAGCGTTTAGCGTTATTCTAATAACATTGAACGAAGAACAAAAACGAGAAAATGGCAGTAGGTTGGAAGTTTTGTTGACAAATTTTCTATATACAATGTATGCATGCAGATAAAAATATGGATACATACATATGCACATATGTACTAGTGATGCACAGAACCGAAGAATCGGAACCGGAGAGCCGACCTCTTACAAGAACCGAAAAACGGTTCCAAAAGAACCTAAAAACGGTTAAGGAAGAACTGAAACTGAATACCAAAAGAACCGAAAAACGGTTCCGGAAGAGCCGAAACTCGATTCTAATATGACCGAAAAACGGTTTCGGAAGAACCGAAACTCGATTTCAAAAGGACTGAAAAACGGTTCCGGAGAACCGAACCACGATTCCAAAGTAACCGAGAAACCGTTCAAGAAGAACAGAAACTCGATTCCAAAAGAACCCAAAAACGGTTCCGGAAGAACCGAAACTCGATACCAGAAGAACCGAAACTCGATTCCAAAAGAACCTAAAAACAGATCCGGAAGAACCGAAACTCGATTCTCAAAGCACCGAAATTCGATTCCAAAAGAACTGGAACCTGATTCCAAAAGTACCGAAACTCGATTCCAAAAGAACCGGAACTTGGTTCCAAAAATACCGAAACTCGATTCCAAAAGAATCGGAACTTGATTCCAAAAGTACCCAAACTCGATTCCAAAAGAGCTGAAACTCGATTCCAAAAGCACCGAAACTCGATTCCAAAAGAACCGGAACTTGATTCCAAAAGTACCGAAACTCGATTCCAAAAGAACCGGAACTTGATTCCAAAAGAACCGGAACTCGATTCCAAAAGAACGGAAAAACGGATCCGGAAGAACCGGAACTCGATTCCAAAAGTACCGAAACTCGATTCCAAACGAACAGAAATACGGATCGGGAAGAACCGAAACTCGACTCTAAAAGAAACCATAAACGGTTACGAAAGAGCCGAAACTCGATTCCAAACGAAGCAAAAAATAGTTCCGGAAGAACCGAAACTCGACCAAAAAGAACCGAAAAACAGTACCGGAAGGACCGGAAAATAATCGCAGAACACACGAAAAAATAAGCATCTTTTTACTGAGAAACCATTCCAAAAGAACCGACAATCGGAAATGAAGCGCACAATGCACTATGAGCAAAAAATTGATTGTCTTGCCATAAGGTCTAATGATGAAGATATCAGCCCGAAATTTGGTTTGGATATGTATCATAGAGTTCTGGGTTGACTTACCAAATTTTTTTTCCGTTCAATGTACTATGTCATTTAGCCGGCATATATCCGATCTGACAGACTTACATCAACTTCGTTGCTTTTGATGATATCGACTTGAAATTCGGTTTGTTTACGTGATATGGAGTTCTGAGTTGATCTAATTTTTTTTTTTTGCATTAAATGTTATGTTAGTTTTTTTCTCACCTTTGTCGCTTTCAAATAGCTTTCAACTACACTTTGAATGCGTCAAAAATACAGCAACAGCATCGAAAAACTTGTGTTTTTAAATGAAATACTAATGTGGAAAACACGTACTTAAATTTAATTTCATGTAATTTACTTAAAAAAAAAATTTGAAATACAAATATCATTTAAGGAATGAAGGCTTATTGTTCCATATTTCGAATGCATTAAGTGTTATACCACCTAGGTGAGCGAGTCTGCGTCTAGCGAGAGCAACACATTTCACATCTCGTCCATCTCACAAAAACGACAGACACTCGTCTCTGAAAGAATCATTTTACTGAGGTGATAACGCAGGGAACAATGTCCCGTGAAATACGCAGTGAGAGTTCTAAGACTCTCTCTTCCTAGATTTATGAGCTTTTTGAAGCTTCTTGTGATGGAGGGATGAACCGTTTAGCTTGTCTTTGCCCTGGAAATTCACTCCAGAGCCCCCAGCCCAGTAATACTGTGTTCTTGATTCCAAGAGCTTCTTCCAAATGTGCGTTCCAGGTGAGTGTCTTATCTAGCCTCACCCCCAGGTATTTTGCTTCGTTGTGGAAGACCTATTCTAGTGCCGCTCAGAATAAACTCAGTCACGGATAACTTTTTTCTCCGGGTAAACGGAGAGTAGTTTTACGGATCTATTTTGTATCAGTGACAAATTCTTGTTTTTTATGCGGAAAAATATACAAAAAAGTTTAAATTTGTCAGTAAACAATTTTTTTTCAGCGATACAGAATTGTGCTATTAGTGGGATTAGGAAAATTATTTGGTATCACACAATCTTTGTGTAATGCGAGGGGCTTGTTGCATGGGGTTTGAGATCGTTTCGCCATGCAGCCTGTTACACAGATCACCAGATCACCTGCATAGCCTTGGTCGTTCATTAGGAAGAATATTTCGTCTAAAACCATGTCCACAGATAAGAGAGAGAGTTGCCCCTTGTAGCTGTAATCGATTCTTTCGTACCTCCCAGCTCCATACTGATCTTTCTTCATGGAAAGCACCTAGTTCTTGATGATGGATCTTACTACCTTGCATATCTGGGCAAATTCCCGGTTCTCCTTGGAACTGGACTCGACAGAATCGGTTCTTTAAATACTCGGAAATGCACATCACTAATATGCACATACATGCATACATATGTGCATATACAAATTTAAATAATTATGTATGTGTATATATTTGCAGAGTTTGTTTTCTTTTTACTTTCGCGAATTTTTATTGTTTTGTGTGATGTGCGCGAGTTATTGGAAATTTTCATGAATTCGTAAATATCCAATATGAAACATATACATATGTATGTACATATGTGTTTGAATACCTGCATATGCATATCAGCATATACAAATATGAATACGTATGTATGCACGTGTTTATTTACCCGGAAAATTACCCGGAAGCAAATTTATGTTGTCAAAAGCTAAGTGAGATTTTAGATTAGTTTGTTTGAAAATAGATAATTTAACAATAGAATCAAACACAAACAATTATCCCGCTTCCATTTATGTACATAACATATTTACCATACAATGTTCAGCTCAATAAACATATTTACATATTTTTGGCGGCCAAAGCACCATCACCGACGATTCCTAGTCATGTTGTGTACCTACATTTTCGTAGAGAGGCTAATATTTATATCCTTAAAGAGTGGTTACTCAATGCCGTTAATCACTTAACGAGATGGCTGAGTCATTTGCACTCATATTGTCTGGGTACTGGAGCAATACGAGGTCAGGGCCTAATCTTACCAGGCACGCATATCAGAGATATACTTGGTATCCCTCTTCAAACATGTGAACCAATTTCCAACTGGTCGTATTGTCTCACATCCTCATAAATAATCAACGGAGTTCTAACCGAGCACTGTCGAATTGGATAACCCACGGTTAGTTTCGACGCACGCCGCAAAATTTGCATGAATGAAGATGAGTAGGAAACTTCTTTGTGAGAATAAAATTTCTGGATGACATGAGGACAGTAGATAGTAGGGACTTATCTTCCACGCGATATCGGTAAGCAGACACTCTCATACTAATTGGTTTCAAACCCTTAACTATGACAATTCCGGCGCTTAAGAGCAAGCAGACTACGACAACAGATAACTACTCAGCGAGCAACCTGTTCTCAGTAATATTTACTGGACCACTTGTAAGTAGAGTGTTGCATCTTGTCACCTATTTTGGATATTTTTCACGAATACCTCTACTCTTGCTGGGATCAACTTCCGGCAAGAATTTGGCGAAAATCACGAGATGTATTGGCTGGATTTTGGATTCCTCGACTCTTCAACCTACTCATCTATAGCTGGTATATATTTATTTTTCACTTTTATACACCGCAACTAGTTTTCGCCTGGTTCAGCTATTAGAGGTAACCAAATGTGAGCACGGGTCTCTTTGGGATGTCCTTGGCTGCTGTAAGATTGAGCTTTAAGCCTACGAATGCATCGGTAATCTTTGCTTTACATCCTGCGAAGAAGTCCAAGGATGAAGACCCGGCATCCACGTAGGGATTCCGCCGAGTCGAACTAGTCTGAGTGTGGACCTTCGGGTTTGTCGTAGTCCATTACGAGACTATATAGCCTTCCATCGAGTTCCATTTTTGCGGCATTGCCAGCGGCATTCTGCTTCTTTCTTCTATAATAGAGAACGGAATGTTGTTCTTTGTGGCTTCGCTCAAGTAGCGGCTGCAGCTGTTTGCGTTCAGTCCCACTTTCTTAATAATACCCAAATGTATGTCTGTTGCAGTAGGACAACTTTAGACGATGTGACCAGGAGATTTTCTTCCTTATCTAAACTCAATTCAATCTAAACCTTTTCAAGGATACCGGCCAGAAAAGTGTATGTGCCCAACGTTCGGATTTAAGATTGTTGCGAACGGTGCTCGTAAATTGCTTATCCAGTTGGATAGTCTTATTAACGCTGATGATGGAAAATTTAATAGCCTTTACTAATACAAAAAAAAATTTAAGATTGGGCAACCACATTCAGAGAGTGTACTTTTTTTTTACGGATGCCAAAAACACAAAATTTGTCAATATCTCAAAAATGTTTCTACTTTCTTTTATTCTGATTTCGTATTCCGATTTAGCGCAAAAGTATTCATAAAAATTCATATAAAATATTTCGGTTGGTCAACTACTTCCAAAGAGAATTGCAATTAAGTGATTGCACTTT